GCACTTTGTGGATGAGGGCAGATCACGTGGAAGAGCCCAAAGATCAGAGCAGAGCTCTCTGGTGGGTCCATTTCTCTGCCATTTATTATTTCTAAACATAACTACAACCTCAGCCCATTTTAAGGCTGATTTTACACAAAGAGTGGAACTTAAGAGATGTGTGCTGACCTGGGTGCTGCTGGGATGTGTTGTCTTGGTGGTAAAACTGCTCCTTTCCTCTTTAATCAACCTGAAAAACAAGCCCTGGAGCACCAGGTGCTTCTTCTGCCTGGGTTTTGTGGTCCAACAGACAGGAAAAGGGGTTTTTGGTGGGGAGATCCCCCAAATTAGTCCTCACACACCTGTGTGTCTCTGTACAACGTGTCCCCCTTTTGTGCTGAGAAGCTGGGTCACCTCTTCTTCCCATGCTATGGGGTCCTACCAGATTTCCTTGAATTTCTTAGCAGGTGCATCCTTGGAGGGAGAACCCCCACAACATTCCCAGGTGGTGAAGCTGTGCTTGGTTAAACTCCAAGGAAATGGGGGTGGAAAGCTCAGAACAGGGAGAGAGGATGGATGGGATGGCCCTGGGAACTCTTTGCTTTAATCTCTGCTACAATTTCTATGGATTATTAACTGAAAACTCACAACTTCTTTCCCAGAAATGCAGGAATTAGAAAGGGAAACAGAACAATTTCATTTTGCCACCACATGAATGTTTGCTTCAGTCTCTGCGTTTAGGCTTAGCTTTTCACACTGAGAGGATTTTCCCCAGCTCCCAATCACTCAGTGCTGCTCTTTCCATAAATCAATGGATTTAGGAAATGCCCAAAAGCACCCAGACTTCCAGCCACAAGGAAAGATAAACCAAACCATTTCAGTTATATTATAACTGCCACAAAATGCCCTTTGTGTGTTTAGAGGACGAGTGGCACCTGGGGACACAGCTTAGTGGTGGCCTTGGCAGCGCTGGGTTAAAGATAGAAATTAAAGAATTAATTAAAGAAACCCCTGAAAACCTGACAATGTCTTTTTTATTATCTTGAGGCTGTAGGAAACCACATCATGGATCAACACTCCAAGTATTATTCAAACAAAGATCAAAACAAGCACTCCAGACCTAAAGAGCACATCCAAAGTTATGCAAACAATCCTGAGGACATCCAGCCATGCCAGCAGCCCTTCCAGGGGGCTGTTCTTCAGCTGAGAAGGGTTTGGAGTAAGCTGGGTCAAAAGAAGGTAGAGAAGGAGAAAGACTGGTAGAACTTAAACAAAATCTGGAACTGGGTGAGATCCACCCAAACTCCCGGCAGGATTTGTCACCATCTTCATAATTCCATATTTTCAATCTTACAAGGCCAGGTTGGACAGGGCTTGGAGCAACCTGGGACAGTGGAAGGTGTCCTTGGCTATGGCAGGAGGTGGAACAAGATAAGCTTCAAGTTCCCTTCCAACCCAAATCATTCTGTGATTCCATGATTCTTAATTTCCTTTAATTTTCACAAAACAGACTCGTGCCCTGCATTTATTTTCGCCCATATGTGCATTATTTTTTAGCTCACTGGGTGTGTTAATGGTTACTGTTGTCAATAACAGGGTTTCCAAACAATTTCTGGATGACTTTGTGAACTGGCTGCCAGCTGGACAGAACGTGGAGCTGAGCTCCAACTTTCTAGTAAATGTTTGTCAAAGAAAATGAGATTTCTTAACAGACATGGAAAGTTTTTCTAAGATTTTCATTGATTTTCCCCTCTATCCTCAGTTTTGGCATTTGACATGGCTCCACCAGGACTTGCTGATGGATGGCAGGACACAGAGGGACACAAGGACGTGCTCAAGATGAAACCCACCTCAGGCATTGCTCAGCAAAGGAGAAGCGACACAAAGACCGAACGAAGCAGGCAAAGACTGAGCTTATCTTGCTTGTTAAAGCCACACATTTATCACCAGGAGAAAATCAGAAATTCCCTGCTCCAGGGTCGTGGGGAGGAGCTGGTGCTCTCCCTGCAGCTGGCAAATCCAGCAGGTCCAACGTGCCAAACACGTCCCCCTCGTGCTGGGAGATAAAGCTCACGTTGAGGGAGCACAAACAACAAGGAACAGCCGCACGAGGCTCTGTTAATCACTTCCATGTGCCCTTTATTAGCTGGGAAGGCTGAAAGGGAGGGAGTGCTCAAGCAGGATGAGACTGATTCAGACTTTTCAGCAGCAACACTATGGATCTTTATTAAATCTGGAGTGCGTGAGCTGGGCTGGCACCTGCTCTGCTGCCGTGGGCGGGATGAGCATCCATGTGCCAGAGGAGGATGCAGGAATCATCCCCAGCCCTGGAGTATAATCAGAGGGGGACACCTACAGCCACCCAACATTTGAGAGCTCTCTGCCTCCAGAAAGCTGTCCCTTCTCCCAGCCAAGCTGCTGTGCTCCGGCACGGCTCCGCCACATCCATCATTCCTGCAGGGACCCAACACCAGGACAGCAGCAACTGGGAACAGCTCAGTGAGGCCAAAGCAGCCCTCTGCCCTGCACAGTGACGTGCAAGCACAAGGCAGTGCTCACTTCCAGCTATTCCAGCAATTTATCCCTTAGGAAAAACGCACCACCCGAAAAACCACCGGCGTTTGCTGCAGCTGCGGGGCCGGCTCTGCGAAGAGCGCTATGGCTCTGCCTAAATATTTGGGTTTCTGCTCTCTCCATGCTTCCATCAGCCTGCTAATCACCCTGTAAAAATAGGAATTCCTCCTTTAAGGAGATAATGAAGTGACCCTGAGCAGCTGCAGGGAATCAGACACAGCAAAGACACCCAGAGCTCAGAGGCAGCTGCCCAGTGTTCCTGCTTCCCACCAAGATCTTTCCTCCATGTGAAGCAGAAGAAAAGGTGAATGAAGATCTAAAACAAGAAATGCCCATTTGCTGTTTCCTGATTTAATTGAACATTGGTTTGGCACAGTCCAACCTGACTGAGGGATTTAGGTGAACTCCTCATCTTCTCTGCTGGGAAGCGATTGGTTCCTGTATTTCAGGTAAAAATCTCCTGTGGCAGCATGGCACATGTGAGGTTATGGAGTCATGGGATGGTTTGGATGTGGGGTGATCTGAAAGATTATCCATTTCCAACCCCCTGCCATGGGCAGGGACACCTTCCCCTATCCCAGGCTGCTCCAAGCCCCATCCAGCCTGGCCTTGGACACTTCCAGGGATCCAGGGCCAGGCACAGCTTCTCTGTGCCAGGGAAACAGAGAAATTCTTCCCAATATCTAACTTATATCTCACTTTCTTCATCCTAAAGACCTCCCCCATGTCCTGTCCATCCAGGGCCTTGCCTTGAGCTCCCCTGGAGCCCCTTCACACCCTGGAAGGAAGGTTGTTCATACATTTATTTATTTAGGGGGAGATAAATCTGTGAAACCAAGATACACATTTGCATTAAAGAAGCCTCCAAGCTGAACTTGCAGGAATAGTTAAAGAGTTGCACAACCACATTGTATGAAAAGCAGGAGAACACATTTGCAGTGACCCTCAGGAGACAGAGTTTGGCAAAGCACTCAGTGCTCTTGGTGAAATAAAACATGCCCTGCAATTCTTTTTATTGACTATATCAAGTGTAATATTCAATGGTCTTCAGAGGCAGAAAGCTGCTCTGCTGCTTTTGGATTAAAATGAATTGATCTGACTTTAAATTAAGAGCAGATGACTTGTGGGAATGTTTATTCCCATATATTCGGCTTTGGATTATTTTTTGTTCTTTAAAAGTGTTAGAGCTGAAGGGAGGATTCCCTGGAGCTACAGGTAGTCAACAAAACCCATCATAACCAACATCCAGCTTGGCCATCCCATGGCAGCAGCACTCCAGCCCCCAAAATTTAGAAGTGCAGCCTTGAAAACAAGCAGATGCTCAACTTCTGCCGAGGGTTGGGTGTGCCTGAGCACGTGCTGGAATGTTTTGCTGACTCTGAGCCCAAGTCCTGCTCTGGCAGAGGTCAGGTATTTATAGCACAGGTGAGTCCCACCCCCGGCTGATCCAGAACTTCCCAAAATCCTGGCTGACCCAGGAGCTGCCAAGAGCAGCAGGAGCTCCTCAGGCTGGGATGAGGGAGCCAGGGCTGTGTCCTGCTCATCCACACCCTGCTGCAGGTCCCCGGGGTTGGAAGGGACCTTCCATACCACCTCATCCAGCTCCCTGCAGTGGGCAGGGAATCTTCAACCTGACCAGGGTGATTTGAACCCCTGATCCATGGCCTGGATTTTCACTGGAGCAAGGTCAGGGAATGGTGTCCCCCACCATTCCATCACCTCCTGCCTCAGTCATTCCCAAATTACCCCACATGGCTGCAGACCTGCACCTGCCCATCTCAGGCTGCTCTGAATCCCATCCCAGCAGCATCAGGCTTAGGGATGCTCCTGTGGTGCCACAGCTACACCTGGCTCCAGCCCTTCCTTAGCCAAATTCCTGCCTGACCACGTCCAGGGACTGAAATAACCCAGCAGGACTCCCTGGCAGCTCAGCAGGGAGGGTTTTACACTCATTCCACTGCCTGTTGTGCAAGCTGGAACTTCTGCACTTGCAGGGACAAGAAAGTGACATCTCCCACCACTCCTGGCCCCAGGGATCAGGAATTACTGAGCATCCACATGACACTGTGGGGCCAATCCACCTTTCACAGAACCAGTGAGGTTGGAAAAGCCCTCCAGGATCACCGAGGCCAAGCTGTGACTGATCCCCACCTTGTCACCAGCCCGGGGCACTGAGTGCCACATCCAGGCCTTTCTTGGACACCTCCAGGGATGGGCACTCCAAACCTCCCTGGGCCACCCCTTCCAATGCCTGACCACCCTTTCCACTGAGAAATTCCTCCTTTCCAACCTGAATCTCCCCTTTTTCTCAGGCAACAGCAATTTATGGAATTGAAGCCGAGGTAGCACCTCTTGGCTACCCTGCGTGTCCTGCTCATCCACGGGCTCCAGGCTGCTCCTGGCAGCTCTGTGACACCTGGACACCCCCACCACTAAGCCAGGAGAGTCACCAAGGGCTATTTATTGTCACAAAGGCAGCTGTGGGCTGCAGGTGGGTGAGGACACTCGTGGTTGAGGACAGCAGCACAGCCTGTTCTCTCTCCTGGCATTCCGTGCCTGCCCGCACGGTTTGTGCTCCCTGCCCTCGGCTCAGCGGCTGGAAAAGCAACCAAAGGCCAGGCAGGAAGAGCTCCTGCTCTCCATGGCAACATCCAACAAACTCTGGGAGCTGGGGAGGCTGCCAGAGCTCCGTGGGCTCCAATGGTTTGCAGGACGTGACCTGGGCTCCTGGGTGAGTTCCAGGGGTGCCCACAGCTCGTCCTGCCTGGATGAGGGCTGGACAGAGTCCCTCAGTGCGGGAACAGAGCAGGGCTGGCACAGAACAGCCTCCCCTGCTTCCTTACCCATCAGTTAATTAGCACAGGGTGGTGCTCCAGCTGCAGCACTGCTGGGGGGGCACAGGAACACCTGGCAGGGCCGGGACCCCATCATGGAACTGGGAATATCTGGGGAGTTTGTTTCTAACACGAGGCTGTTTGCAAATGCAAACATGCAAATGAACACACATCTCCCAGGAATCAGAGAATCATGGATCACTAAGGTTGGAATCTCATCTAATCACTAAGGTTGGAATCTCTAAGATCATCGAGTCCACCTGTTAATCTAAAACTGCCACTTTGCTACTAAACCATGTTCCAAAGTGCCACACCCACGCACTTTTTGAACTCTTCTGGAGATGGTGACTCCCTGATCAGCCTATTCCATGAAGAAATTTTCCCTAACATCCAAATTAAACCTTCCCTGACATGACTTGAGGCTGTTCCCTCTCCTCCTGTCCCTGTTCCCTGGGAGCAGAGCCCGATTCCCCGGCTGTCCCCTCCTGGCAGGGAGTTGTGCAGAGCCAGAAGGTCCCTCCTGAGCCTCCTTTTCTCCAGGCTGAGCCCCTTTCCCAGCTCCCTCAGCCCCTCCTGGTGCTCCAGCCCCTTCCCAGTCCCATTCCCTTCCCTGGACTCACTCCAGCTCCTCAATGTCTTTCTCATCATGAGGGGCCCTGACACTGCTGAGAGCCTGTAAAAATGTGTTAAATTACCTGTCTTCCACTAATATAAAAAGCCAGGAAAAAAGCTCCTGGAGAAGTCTAAGTTTACCTGAAAATCAAGCCAAACAGGTTTTTCTCCCTTTTTCTGTGTGCTGCTGTCATGAAACGAGTTTGAATGTGGAGGTATCAAGTTCGCAGCAGTTTAAATGTTAAACGTGGCCTGGAAAAGCAGAGCTTTCTAAAAGCTTTCATTGAGCCTTGTTTCCCCCTGTGCCGTCTCCCCTCTTGTGGCACGGGAGGCCTTCCACAAATGCTCCATTCATGGGGACCCTGGCCACCAGAGCCCCTAAAATTGTTGGGCCAGCCCCAGTGGCTCGGCCTCATTAAAGGGTTTGTGTTTGGGGACGTGCTGTGGGTGCTTTCATCTCCCAGACTCTGCTCAGGTTATTTTTACCCATCAGGCTGGAGGCTGAGCCTTTGCCCGGCCACTTCTCCGTGCCCTGGGTGTTTGTGGAGCTCAGCCCAGAGCCAGAGCAGCCTCAGTGCTTAAAACAGCTCCAGAACACTCCCAGATTAAGGGAGGCTCACCCAAATAAATAAACCCAAAGGGGCATGGGCTGAGGGTAAACCTGGGGACAAAGGGCAGCCAGCAGCTCATCTGCTCCTGGTTGTGCCATGGGGAGCACTGGTGGGCAGAGATTTTGCTGTATTTGTGTTCCACGGCTCCTTCCGTAGGGTTTTTATCTCATTTGTACTGGTTTGTGTAGGATTCCCTTCTGGTTCTTCCCCAGGAATTTCTCCCTGGGAGAAAAGGGAGCAGAAACTTCCTTTCTCCCTTCCCATTTTCCAACCTCCTTTCAGAAAACAGGCACACAGGCATTGTCCTCTGTGCTTCTGCCAGGCTGAAAACAGCTCTGCCTGCAGCTGGGAATTACATCCCACTTCCCCAGAGTCTCCTCAGCCCAGCTCTGCTCCCTGAAGATGCTTTTCCCTGGATTCTGGCCCTGAAGCTGCACCAGGCTCGGTGCCAGATGATTTTTATTTTGCCTGTGGATCTCTGGAACAAAGACAAGCCAAGTGCCAGGAGCACAGGGTGAGGTTTTCCAGGTGAGGAGCTGGATCCAGCCAGGCTGCTGCCAATGATTCCCTGGGGCTACAGGGATCCTGAACATGCTCCTTGTTTTTAATGTGTTCAAATATCTCCTGGGGTGACACAAACAGTCACTGAAATCAGCAGGGAGGGCTGGGATCCACATCTCAAACCTCTTTTGCTCTGCACTCTACAGGTCAGTGGTAACAGCTCCCAGATTTCGTTCAAAATGTCATTTTCTCAACTTGACCCAAGAATCTGCATTAATGTCACTTGAGGAACCCTTTGACACCTGTCAAGTTAAACAAACCTCTGAACTGGAGTAACTCTTTCTTTACAAAGACTTAGCAAGGTTTACGAGCTCTGTTTTTCATCCTGTGCACCCAAAGAGAGCGCAGGAGAGAAAACTATATGAACAAAATACACAGAAAATACATTTTCTGGTGCAAAAATATGGCAGACAGCTGAAACTGTGGCATTTCTGAACTTTGGAGAGTTCTGTTTGCAGCCTAAATCGATTCCATTTCTCTCTCAGACACCAAGGTAGGACACAAATTCTAAATGACACTGTGTGAAGTCGTTGCCTTTGGTAGAAACAATATGTACAAAACACCAAAACGGTCTCAAACCCTCATTTGTGTCAAAGCAGCTCTGTAAAACACAACTATTTTTTATAAAACCTCCCTCATCCTTTACCAAGGGGGAGTCCTACCACACCTGAGCTCTTGCCCAGGCTGTGCAAACCTGATAATCGAAGCTCCAACCCCAATTTTTCAGTGAAAGGTGTGTGGGGAACTGTTGGTTTGAATCCCAAACAACACAAAGGCTTTCCAGTTGTCCTAACCCAGCTAATCCATGGATGTGGGTGTGGATTAAAGTGACACCATCCCCTGGCAGGGACAAGGGACACACAGCAAGCCAGGGAGCCTTTGGGAGTTATCCCAAACTTTGGGAACACAAATATCCACCTGCCAATGCCAAGGTTCGAGCTCTGGTTGTGACAGCTCCAGGATGTGCTCCTTGTGCAAAGCTTTCCCTCAGAATAGAACAAAGTGAATCCCAAGGAATATTCAGGTGTCTCACCAGAGAAAATACACGAAAATTAATATAAAATACTTTTACAGTCAGGTTTCCCCTTGTTTTCCTTAATCCAACACAGAAATCTCCAAGGAAATAAATTTCTTGGAGTGAACATTTCAGAAAAGTTAATATAAAATATCCAGCAGTTCTTCCAGGTTCCCCTGGCATTTTCCACAGCTTCTATTAAGACATCCACAAGTCTTTTTCTGGGGGCTGAGTATAAAAATGCTGCTTGTGCCTGCTCCCCCCACAGTAGATTTGGTCCAAACAGTAAATTGGGATTCCCTGCTGGATCCTGCCCTGGGTGGAGGAAGGGCCTCGTGGGGTACCTGGCTGTCCCCTGCACGTGGGATGACAAACACGGCAATGACGTCTGGATCGGGAAAAAGAAAACATCAGGAAATATCAGAGAGCAGCAGCTGGTAAATCCATACGTAGGAAAACAAACAAGGCCGAGCTTTGATTGTCCAAGTTCACAGCGGAGGTTGCTTTACCTTGGCAGAGCCACATCCACGACTTTCGGCTCGGAATTCCTTCGGCAGAGCTAAGCAAAACCATGTGTTCTCCTGGAACCAGGGGAAAGTTTAACTCCAGCACTGGGCAAAGCAGGGCTGGAGAAAAGGAGGCTCAGGAGGGACCTTCTGGCTCTGCACAAGTCCCTGACAGGAGGGGACAGCCGGGGGATCGGGCTCTGCCCCCAGGGAACAGGGACAGGAGGAGAGGGAATGGCCTCAGGGGAGGTGCAGGTTGGACAGCAGCAGGAATTTCTCCATGGAAAGGGTTCTGAAGCATTGGAAGGGGCTGCCCAGGGAGGTGTTGGAGTCCCCATCCCTGGAGGTGCTCAAGGATCAGCTGGAGGTGGCACTCTGGTACTCTGGGCTGGTGACAAGTGGGGATGAGGCACGGCTGGGGTTTGATGGCCTTGGAGGGCTTTTCCAACCTCAGGGACTCTGTGAATTTCTGAGAGGTTCAGTAGGATTCTGGAAAAGGGTAGGAGCTGTGTTTTGGGAAAGCTAAAAGGAACAAAAAGAAGGAAAATAATGTTTACAGAGGAGGTGTAACAACAACTTGACAGGGAAGGGAGAGGCTCTGGCAACTCCTGCTGGTCAGAAAAATGTGGGATCAAAGCAGCGCTTAGGGAGGATCTGCTCCTTTACAAAGTGCTCCAAGGAACCACGCTCAGGGAAACTGATAGTGCTGAGCTCTCTGACCAGGGACCTGCCGTGTATCCGTGCTATTTAAAGATGTGTCAGGGTTAGGATAAATATAGGATCTGCTCAGAATGGTCTGAAAAGTCACCTTGAGTTATCATGGGAATATTAATTGTGAGCTTCAGCTGAGTGCAGCCACAGCCAGAGCTCCCAAGGGAAAATCTCTCTGTAGTGCGGTGGAAAACTGCCCTGCACGGGCTGGAGCTGGGGCTGGGGCTGGAGCTGGGGCTGGGGCTGGAGCTGGGGCTGGGGCTGGAGCCGGCCCAGCACACAGGAACATCTCAAGCACTGGTCCCACTTCCCTGCACCTCTCCCAGGGGACACAGTGCTGGGACAAAGGCCACTCATGGTCCTTTTGCAGGAGATGGGGTGACAACCCCAAGGACCTGAACAAATTCCAAATTCCAATTTCTCTCTCCCTGAATTCCTCTGGTGCTTCCCTTTGGGCATCCTGGGTTCTGCTTCCTGTCCTGGATCCCAGTGTAGCCCAAGCCTGATCCCCCAGGCTGCTGAGGAAGCTGCTGGAAGGTGCAGAATGTGGGAGCTCATTGTATCCCAGCCCTGCCAGGAAACTCCATCTGCAGCTCCTGAGGAGCTCCTGGGATCTGCCTTCAGCTCTGCCCTCAGCACTGACAGGGGTCAGCACATCCCAACTTGCTCCAAACCCACCTTGAGTCCAACTGGGGACCCACCACAGCCTCTTGGAGCTCACCAGGCACTTCCCTGACCTTCCCAACCCTCCCCAGCACAGGCAGGCCCAGGGTGGAGAAGTCTGGAATTGGGCCATTTGGCTTTTTGGCTGCATAAGGTCAATCCAAGCCTTTTCCAACAGATCCAGAATTGCTCCATCAAAGCCTCAGCAAACCCCTGGCCATGGCTGTGTCACCGTCCAGCTGAAAACGGGGGCAATCCCCCCAGATTTCTTCTTGCTGAGCAGATCTGTGGCTGTGACAGGGAAAGGGATGGATGAAAGGATCCTCAAGCCCAGGTGACACTCTCCAGGGCAGCAGGTCCCATGGAAGCTGGGCTGCAGGTGCTGCTATAAACAAGGAAAACATCCTATTATCTCCCATTCCACGGCCAGTTTGGCTTGGGGGAGTCCAGCATGATTAATAATTCCTGAAACTGCATTGCTAGAAACAAGAAACCAGCAGGAAAGGCTTCAATCAGACTCTGTAAAACTAGAGGGGTTGATTTGCTTCAGGCTACTCACTTCAGTTGATACAACCACTATTAAATGTTGAGTAAAATCCTTGCTTTACGTAAATCCTTTCCCAGAGGAAAGGCAAGACAGCGAAGGAGGGAAGACAGGAACCCAGGAGAGAATCCTGGATTGGCTCCAAGTCACAGGAGGAGCAGTTGTCCTTCCCTGGTCACTTAGTGCTGATAAAATGGGAAGCCCATAAATTATGAGTGAGGGTCTCACATTTCATGGAGAGCTGTTCCTCGGAGTGGGGATGTGTGGGAAATTAGAATAAGGATCTTTTTCACTTTTGTTCACTGGAAAGCACTCTGGGAAGGGTTCAGCTGTGGGCTGGAGAGTCACTAGATGGTCACTTTGTGCATAAATCAGTGATTGCCTGGGGTGGTGCCTTTTCAGGGCTACCTAAAAGCTGAGGCCAGACAAAAATAAGGGAATGAAATGTGGGTATATTTATTGGAGGGCCTTCAGGTACATTTCAGGCAGATTAAACCCCCCAGGGGCTGCACCCAAAAAATGGGTGACGGGTCACGGGTTTTCATACTTTTATAAGTTTGGTCCATTTGCATTTTGGGGGTAAATCTTCCAATTCCAGCTTCAGGTAATGAAGTCATTTACCCCAACTCACTTTTATTTACATTTCTCAGGCCTGGGGCAGTGAGGTGTCCTTGATTCCCAGGCCTGGAGAGGAATTGTTGTGTCTGACCAAAATGGGAAAGCAGCAGCTCACACAGTGTGTGGAGTTCAGAGTCACCCACTAAAGAATTGCAGGATTACAAACAAATTAAAAATATAAAAGGTAAACTCCCGAAGACACCACCTGAACAGAGAGCTGGCTGGATAAAGGGATGCACAAACAGCGACACCAAGGAGGCAGTAACTCGTTTTGGTTCAGTTTGGTTAAGTTTGGAGTATAAAAACCCTCAGTTTGTTACAATAAACCATCATGGGAACAACAAGGAGATCTGTGTGTCTTTGCTCCCCATTGCTACAGGGCTGTGATGGGGCAGCTGCGCCTTCCCCAGGCTTGGAAGGACATCAGGAGTCAACAGAGGAAAGGTAAAAGGAAAAATAATAAAGGAATTGCCCTGTCAGGGTTGCTTTCCCCTTTAAAACAAAACTCTGGTAACAAAGGGAAGGGTTATACAAGGAATTCCATCCTTATCTAGGGAGCTCCTGGACAGGGAGGCCTTTCCCTGGCATGGTGATGCTCTTCTTCCCTCAAGAGTCAAAATGCTTTTAACGAAGCGGTTTTATTTGGTTTAACTCCTGGATTTCTTTGCTTGGTGCTCTATTTCCAAGCTGGTGGTGCTGAAGGAATGCCCATCTCCTGTCAGGACATCCTGTGGGACACCAGTCAGCCTGGGCAGGAATTCTGGGTCACAAACTACGAGTTTTGGGATGAATCTGAACTTCAGGCTGGACTCCTGGTGCTTATTATAGTTCTTATTAAACAGTGCTTATTAAATTATTCTTATTACAGTGCTTATTAAACACTTCCAGTGTTTATTACAGGCTGGAGAGGGGAGGGTCAGGAGGAAGAAGGTCAGGTCCTGGTATGCCAGGGTTGAGGGGGGTGTGAGGGTTCCCTGATGGGCATTTTGGGGCCATTCCCATAGAAATGCTTATCTGCATCTTCCAGAGATATGGAGCAAACCCAGAGCAGACAGCCCAGACTGCTTTGCCAAAAGCTTAATTGCAATTAGTGAGTCTGAGGGGAGGCCAAAGTCCCAGCAACAACTGGAGAGCGGGGGTGAAGCAGTGGTGGCATAGCACAAATAAACCTGCTTGGATCTGCATAGCACCAGGAGTTTGAGCACCAGCAGAGCTCCAGCTGGGCAAGATTAGCTCTGCTAATGAGCTTTGCTAACACAAGTCCTACAAACAAGGCACAATTTGGGCATTTGACCCCGGCTGGGCACAATCACAGAGCTCCAAACTGCCTCGTTTTGGGGTTAAGAGACAGAATCCCAGACTGCTTCAGGTGGGAAGGACCTTAAAGCTCATCCAGTCCCAGCCCTTGGCATCATCAGGGAGACATTGCACTGTCCCAGGTTGTTCCAACCTGCCCTTGGGCACTTCCAGCTTCTCGGAGCAATCTGTGCCAGGGCCTCCCCACCTCCCTCCTTTGCAAGGAATCTTCAACCTGTGACTCAAACCCGGGCACTTAAAGACATTATTAACATTATTAACACAACAGCAATGCTCTGCTGCCCAAGGATTGAGAATTCCCCAGGCCCGTGCTGAAGGATTTCTCTCCATGACACTCACACCATGGTTTTGTCTGGTTTTCCATTATTCAGCCCTTGTGGCTTTTACCACTTCCCTTGGGAGCCTCCAGCGAAGCCCAATCTCTGCATTGTTCCAAACATTTCCTGATATTCAGCTGCTTCTTCCTTCTATTCATGCCCAGCAGAATTGTGCTCCTGCCTGGCTGTGCCCTCGATTGTTTGGGGTGCTCCCAGACCTTTTAAACTGGGAGTTTTTGCTGTCAGAACACAGAATAAATTCCCTGATTTCACATGTCCTTGGGATTTGTTGAAATTTAACCTCCCTCCGTGCTCCTGCCCAGGAACAGCAGCCAGCCCTGGGCTTGTTCTCTGTTGGTGTCTTCTCCCTACATTTCTGCCCTGTGGTGGCTCTTCCCACCAGTCTGGCTCTCCACCCTTCCCATTTCTTTTGGTGAAACTCATTTTCCTCCAGGAAAACACCAGGACTTGCTGATGTTGTGTTCCAGCCATCCACAGCCTCATCCCAGGGAAGCTGTGAGGGATGAAACGTGGATATGGGACCTCTGCAGGCACAGACAGCTTGGCTTGAGAGGGACCCTGAGGATCACCCAATTCCAGCCCCTCTGCCATGGGCAGCATCACCTTCCAGCCCACTATCCCTGCCTAAACACCAGGCTCCAGCATTCTGGAATAGCAGCCACCAGGATTCAGAGAAAAACCAATAAACCAACTCTAGTTCTCCTGATTTTCACCGAGATTCCGCTCTGCAGGGTGGGAAGAAGGAGGGAAGTGTTTGGGTGTCCCTTTGGGCCCATGTCACAGCTTGGGAATCAGCTCTGCCCAGCTGGAGTGGGCGGGCTGGGCTGGAAAACACCTGCTCCCTTTTCCAGGGATAAGATTTCGGAGTAGCTGGATCCTCCTGTCAAAACAACAGTGTCCATTCCCACCGGGATCTGTCCCAGCAGAACTGGGGATCTGTCCCTTTCAGCCAGGGAAAAAGAGCCAGCAAACCCAGATCCCACAGAAAACACAGACATGGTGAGTTCCTGACCTCATTCTGGAGAGGAGAATAACCAGGAATTTCTTCCCTGGATGCAATTTCTGCAGGGAGACACCATGGGCTTGACCTGGCTGTGTTTGGAATTCTGGGAAAGATGAGGAATGAGTGGGGAGTCTGCAAAATTAATCCCTTCTCCATCAACAAGTGAAATTAAAGGCTCTGAAACTGCTTAGACAACCTTGGAAGAGGCAGATTAAATTCCTGTAGGACATGGAAAGCAAAGGAGCTGGAAACTGGGAGAGGACATCCGGATAGATGACTCTCCTGGCTTATTGGGGATAAAATAAAAGCAAAGGTTGAGGACAAAATGTGAGGTTTGGAGAGGTATTCAAGTCCAGGCCTTGGTGCCACCAGAGGTTTGGATTTGCCTGACCCAGCAAACAGCACAAATTTTTATTTTACCTTTTCCCCAATTTCAGCAGCTCATGATCCTGCCTTTGCATAAGTGCATTAAATACAGAAACATTTGGAAAAGAAATATCCTGGCATCTGTTGGCAAAAAGTTCTCTTGGATAGCAAAGTAACGGAACGTTAAGTGCTGATAAATAAACAAACTGAGATTTTTAAATGAGGCCTTTTTAAAATTGCAAGGGGGCGGCTTCAAATGAGCACTTGCCTTCTGTTTTTCTTCTTTGCCATCTCTCTACAGCACTTAAAATGACTTAAAAATTCTTCTAAATGCTTATTAAAAAAACCCCCAAACTGAAAAGATGATGCTTTGCACTTCCATTTGATTCCAAGGGGATTTTTGGTTGCTGTCTTATAAGACTTTTCAAGAAAGGTTTCGAATGGAAGCCCTGACAGACCATGGAACATTAGGAATTCCGCAGCGTTAATGAGCTCCTGAAGGGCTGGAGAATCACAGAATTGTGGAGTGGTTTGGGCTGAAGGGAATTAAAACTCACCCAGTTCCACCCCCTGCCATGGGTATAGGGACACCTTCCACTATCCCAGGTTGCTCCAAGCCCTGTCCAACCTGGTTCTGCTCAGGAATTTTCCTTTATAATCTTTTCTTTCCTTTATAATCTTTTCCAGCACCAGCCATGGTTTCTGTAAAGTGATGTTTTTTCTCTTTTCCCCCAGGAAAGTGCCACTATTTTGATCTTTTCCTTTAGTTTTCCTGGAGAAAACCCTCAATGAAACACCTCTGTTCAAACACAATTAAACCTGTTGGTTTAATCACCCCAATAATGACCCTTTGTGGTCACCCAGACACTGAACATCGTTCCACAGGAGCTGTGGTCCCAAAGCTGATTCTTTAGAAGTGTGAGACTTTTAGAAGCTGAGAATGGGACAGGATGTCACGAATGCATTGCAGACAGGCAAAAAATTCCAAATACAACAATTTGAGGCACAAAGATCTTTTGGGCTCACGGGGGTTCTGCTTTCCCCAGGGTTCCTAAATCACTCAGATGCCACCAAGCCACCCCTGGATGCTCCATTTGTGCCACAGCAGCCTGCTCATGGATTCTATGGATCCAAAACCTTGCAATATTTAAGGTCCAAATGACAAATAGGTTCTGCTGGTGCAGGAAAGAAGAGGAAGGAAAGGAACAATAAAGGAACAAAGTTAATGCCTTGATCATTTATATTCCAGTGGCCTTCAAATGCCAGCTGGATTTGGGTTCTGCTCTTTGGCTCCTTGGAGGGTTCCTAAGTGCCCTGAAGTAGGAAAATTGGCACAAGAAAGAAATTGACTGAAAATACTCAGCAGGTTTGACAGCAGAAGAATTAAGTGTTAATCACCGGGAAATGCAATATGCTCATTTTCCGGGCAAAATTATCCCATAAATTCAGGTGTTCCTGCCTGGCTGAAATCAATGGGAATTTCTCATCGCAGTTCCAAAGCCGCTCCAGCACTGACACAACCAGAGACAGCCCAAAAATGTCATTTCCATGGGGTTTCTGTGCACGGGCAGCCAATTCTGCACAGAGGGGGTAAAACTTCTGCTCCAAAACATTGTGCCTTCTCAGCAGCCACCCTTTCCAATAAGATAACAGCCCCGTTTCTCTTGTTTTCCAAAATAACTCCAGATTATTGATGTCCTGCCAATGTTTTAACAAGGAGAGTTCACTAAATCCCACCCTGTCCCAAGTCTAGGACGAACACCATGGGATCAGGGTGGGGACACCAAATGGGTTGTGCAGAGATGAAGAGCCCAGGAGTCTGTTCCTTGTTTTTCCATTTTAAAGCAAACACTTTTCTGTAACTGGAACCAAGAAGAGAAGGAGCCTCCCCCTTTATTCGTGTTTGGCAAATAAACCTCTCTTAAGGGCACTGTGTTGGAAATGTTTGTACTTTATTTATTTAAAAAAAAAACCAAAACAGAGTGGGTTGATAGCACAACATTTGGCCTATTTATGAGGAGAAGGATAAAGGCATCCACGTATTCCTTTGAGTGTCTTGGAGGGCAGCAGGAATATATTGCTCTGGGGATGTTTTCTTTCTCATCAATATCAAAAAATTTATGTTCAATAGGGAAAAAGTTGGAATTTTAGGGGTTTTTTTTGTGTGATCTCTACAGGTCAGAGAACAGCACTGTGGCTCAACCTACAGATTGCACTTTCCCAGCTTCTGGTTTTGGCTGTAGCAGAAAAAATGTTCCTCATAAAGGAAAAATACCCTAAACCAAGTGGTGGCTGAATAACCTGCTCACTACAACTTTGGATTTAATGGCAACCACGGATGGATACAAAGCTGGAATCACTGGGGTGGTTTGGAAGGATGAACTCCACAAAGGGCATAAATCCCATTCCCAATCTCCTGTAACATTTTAAGGAGTTTTCTACGAGACCTTGAAGTTCCCAACAGCTGAAGACTTTTTGTCAAGAGAGTTCAATTAAACCAGTAACTCCGGAGAGAAAGCAAACATCCCAGCCAGGCACAGCTGCCTGGGTCCCTTCCAGCAGCAGCAAAGTTGGCACAATCACCACATTCTGCCTAAATTCTGTAAGAGGCACAGAAGTTTTGGGTTAAGATTTATTCTCTGTTTAATCCTTAAGGGGCCATCAGCCTCCTCTCTAATGGCTTTGCCCAGCCCAGGCAGTTTTGAAGCTCAGACTCAAGATGTTAATCTGCGAAAACGTTTCAATGAGCTCATCCTAATCTGTGTCAGAACACCCAGCTCCCGACATCCTTCTTTCCCTAAAAAAAAGCTTTCGAATGCCGCGGTGTGGATCAATGGGTTCCCACTGAGAGCTCTCAGCCTCGCATGAGAATGGCTGTGAAAAGCAGCCGCAGCTCGCCAGGGATCAGCATTTCCATGCAGCCGCCTGAAAATGCCCACGAGCCACGAAACTGGGTTTCTCTATGAGTTTACTGGTGATACCGGCGGCTTTTCCATCCTGAGCCTCCCGCCAGCCCCACGCTCAGTGACAGCGATGCCTTTGGCCCCACGTTTTTCTGCCTCTGTTTTTCCCAAACAAATAATAAATGGACCTTTGCCCATGGGGAGCAGGAAACATCTGCCCCGCCGCCGCTCTCGCTCCGAATCCTCGCTGCTGTTTTTGTGTTTGGTTGAAGGGAGAGCTCGCAGGGGCTGAGCCCGGGCTGCCCGGAGCTGCTGGGCTGTTACATGAGATGCTCAGGAAGTTATTTGCATGGAGGGGATGGATAAAAGCCCGTGGCAGCCGCCGGCTGCGCTGCAGAGGCGACTCAGCCGCGGTGGCCACCGGCCCAAGGAATTACATCCATCCCAGCTTCACAATGAGTTGTTTACTGGCCTTGCCTGCCTGTGGGAAGAGCCAAGGAGAGCGGAGGAAGAGGAGAGACAAACACAATGCGAGCGAGACGCGTTAGGGGGGAGGCTGGGCTTGAGCAGCAGCCCCGGCATTTCAGCCCCATGGAAGCAGAGAGGGCTGAAAAGGGAATAAAATGAACCATCCGCCGCCTTGCTGCTGCTGCCAGAAGAGCCTGGTCCCCACCTGAAGGGCTGAGATCGAAGGTAAGAGGGGAAGAGAAGCAGTTTTTTAGGCAGAGGGCAGATTCACAGCGCGGCTCCCCGGCAGACACAGCCACGCTTCTCGCCGAGTATTTGTAATTATGGCCCTGGAAAAGGAAAGCTGAGCGCTTTTCCAGCAGGAATCCAGAGCTTTCAGGGCAAGAGCTCAGACTGTTCCAGTCAGCTCCTCTGAGAAGATTTAAAACAAAACAACAACCCCCAGCCTAACAAACAGCGCCTTTCTAAATCTGCCTAGGGAGATATTTGATATTTTATTTTCGCCGCCAACTTTGCAGCTTCCTAATCTTACCCGGCGCTTTCCCGATTCTCAGCTCCCCTCTCTGCTCCTCACTTTTTTTTTTTTTATTTTTTATTTTTTTTTTTTAATTGGAAGGCGAAACAATCCCTGCCGCGGGAAGGAAAATCCGAGTTTTGAGGAGCTTTTCCCTGCTCGTTCCCATCGGGCACGCTCTCCCAGGCTGGGTCCCCCGGCTGATTGCTCGGGAAATCCGCGTTGCTCATTGTCGGGCTGTCCTTAAGCTGCTGATTCCGAACTGGGAGAGGCTCTGGAAGGGAATCCATGGATAGAGCCCCGCGAGAGGGACCCAGCGCAGAGCCGGGGCGGGGCGGGCTCCGGCGCTAATAACACATCCCTGCCCAATGGAAAGCGTTTCCTATGGAGACCCCCAGGAGTTCCCCCTGCCCACAGCCCCTGCCCAGACATTGGGCCCATTCTTGCGTCCCGTTTT